GGGTTTCATTTCGAGGACGACTTTAACCTTTTCGGGATTTGCTTCGATGCCCCTGCTGTTGACTATGAACCCTAATAACTTCTCTACTGATACCCCAAATACGCATTTTGCCAGGTTCAACTTCATTCTGTATTGACGCATAATCTCAAAAGATTCCCCAAGATGGTGGATATGGGATTCAGCCTTGAGTGATTTTACCAGCATATCGTCTATGTAGAATTCCATGGTCAGGCCAAGCTTTTCGTTGAACATTCTGTTGACTAGTCTCTGACAAGTAGCTCTGACGTTTTTTAAGCCGAAGGGCATCACTTGGGTAGCAATATACCACTTTTTTTGTGATGAACGATGTCTTTTCCTAGTCGTTGGGGTCCATTCTGATTTGATTGTAGCCCGAAAAGGCATCCACGAAGCTGAGAAGTTCGTGGCCAGCGGTTGCGTCGACGATCAGATCTATTCGAGGTAAAGGGAAACTATCCTTGGGGCATGCCCGGTTTAGGTCGGTAAAGTCGATACAGAGTCGTCATTTGCCATTCACCTTTCTTACGAGCACGATATTGGCCAGCCAAGTTTGGTAATCAACCTCTCTGATGGCCTTAGCCCGTAGCAGCTTAGCCACCCCCTCATTAATGATTTTTTGCCTTTCTGGCACGAAGCTTCTTCTCTTCTGCCTGATAGGTTTGCAGCTTGGATCAACACTCAAACGATGCATGATCACTATGGGGTCTATTTCCTCCATGTCCTCTTGTTTTTAGGCGAAAGTATTAGCATTTGCCTTTAGGAACGAGATGAGCTTTTCCTTGATAGACGGGAACAACATTGAACCTATGAACACCACGTGCCCCGGGTCTTCGTCAAATTGCATGGGCTCCAACTGCTCCGTAGGTGTAAGCCTGGTATCTAATTCGTCTCGCATGTCCAGGTCCACGAGCTAGACCGATTCCACCTTCCTTTGTTTCATCGACGCAACATAACATTCTCTGGCCAAGCGTTGGTTGCCCCTGACCATGCCGACCCCATTTTTCGTGGGGAATTTCATCACCCAAATGATATGCCGAAGGTACTGCTTTGATGGAGTTGAGAGATGGTCTACCCAGCAGGATGTTGTAGGCGGATAAAGTGTCTACTACCAGGAATCGAGCGCTGGTTATATCCTGGCAGTGTTGTTCCCTGACGGTGAGGATGAGTTGGATGGATCCAACTGGGAGGACCTTTTCGCCCGAGAAACCTAGTAGGTGGGATTTCATGGGTTCGAGGTTCGACCTTTCTATACCCAGTTGGTCAAAAATCGACAAGAAAATGATATCAGCAGAGCTTCTGTTTTCGACGAGTACTCGGTGCATAGTTTTGTTGGTGACGATCGCCTTTATGACCAGGGGGTCGTCATGTGGCGGCTAGCATTCTCCCAGGTCTGCATCCGAGAAGGTGATCTCCATTTCTCGGCGTGGCACCTTCCGTACGGTATGGATTTCAAGGTGATCTTTTGAATGTGCCTTCCGAGCACGTGCTCTACGTGCTGAGCTGGATTCGCCTTCTGGGGCGAACCCGCCAGAGATCACGAAGATTTCGCCAAAGGCTTGTTGGTGCTGTTGAGGGGGTTCTGGGGTAGTTCGGTCTTCTTGACCTTGATTATTCCAAGCTCTTCCATCCGGCGCCAAATAGTGGCGCAAGTGTCCCCTCTGGATGAGATATTTTATCTTTTTTCTTGAGTTGTATGCAGTCGTTCATCTCGTGGCCGATGTCTTTGTGGTAATCACAGAAGTTAGTGGCATCCCGCCTATCTGGGGCAAATTTCATTCACGGTGGCCATCGGATGAACCTCTTATTTTGGACCTCATGGAGGACCTGAGCGATCGAGGTGACAAAAGGTGGGAGTCGAGCCGGAGCATACCGCAGCTGTAGCTCCTACGGAGGAGGTCCTAGTCGATCTCGGACATTTGCTATCCTTTTAGGGGAAGACTTCCTCTTCTCGGAGAGTGGTCTCTTCTCGGGGATCGGTCTCTTCTCGAGGATTGGTCGCGCCTTTTCTCTCTTTTGGGGCTATGGTCTCGCTTCTTCTTGTCCCCTTCCGGCGTTGCCGAACTTCCTTTCAGGCGAAGAGCTTCTTCATCGTTGATGTACTTTTCAACCTTTGCTAACACCTCGGCCATAGTGGCCTGAGGGTTCTTAGAAATCGAGAATAGAAGGTCCTTGGATTGCACTCCGAACCCCGACATGAAGGTGGTTAGTGCGAATTTATCGTCCACGCTTTCCACCTTTAGGCATTCCTAATTGAAGCGTTGCACGTAACTTCTGAGGGACTCGTTTGGCCCCTTTTTGACGCTCAGTAGGTGATAGGACGACTTTCTATATGTCCTTGCTCCGATGAAGTATGAGACGAAATGTATTGACAGTTCCCTGAAGGAGGAGATTGACGCCGATTGTAACCTATTGAACGAAGCTATTGTCGATCCCTTCAAGGTGATGGCAAAAGCTCGGCAACAAATCGGGTCAGGATACCCCTGGAGTTCCATCTGATTCTTGTAGGAGTTTAAGTGGTCGACTGGATCTTTGGTCCCGTCGAATGCTTCTACCGACGACATCCGAAACTTTTGAGGGAGAGGGAAATGGAGGACCTTAGGTTTAAATGGCTACTCGATTTGCTGGACTAGGGCATCCATGGTGTCGGGGCCCTTTCCTCTAACCACTTATTTCATGTTGCCCAGCTCTTGTTGGAGTTCACGGATTCTCTGTTCCCATATGCGATCATCTATTTCGAACGGGGGACGAGGTCTGTCCTGTGGGAAGGCAGTTGTGGCTCGGCTATGGCCTCGTCCTCATTTTTTCCTTCGGGATGTCTCCTTCGATGGTTTTCTCCAGAGTGGCTGTGCTCATGGAGCTCTGTGACCCCATTTGGTGGAGCTTGGTGTCCTCGAAGGGGAACATCATAACCTACTGGCGGTGGAGGGGGTTCTTATTGAGCTGGTGGGAATGGAGGGAGTTGGTGAGTCCGTATCCATTCCAGCAGCTCCTGGTTTTGTTTCATAAGTTGCATCGTGGTTCAGTGAAAAGTATCCATCCCCTCGAGAGGGGGAAGGTTCGTTGTTGTGAAGTGGTTTGTGGTGTCCACTTCTAGAATCGGGGGATTCTCTGGAAGGTTCTAGTGGGCTTGAGGGTTGGCTGGAACTTTACTCATATTCCGAGTTGAAACCATCAAATAGAAATAAGGTAAAGAAATGATGAAAATCGTTCCCACAGACGGCGCCAACTGATGGTGCTCAGATTTTAGGGCCTAAGCCCAACTAAGCTTATGGATTTGTGATTAGTTAGACTAAGAATATAAGTGGTTCACCCTAACCGAAGGACTAAGACTACGTCCACTATTAACGGAGCTTCTTGCTCGCTGGATTTTTATATTCATCGATTGGCAAAATGCCTCTAGTAATTTTGGGACTCACAGTCCATTTACAAAGGGTAAGGGGCTAGGTATTCTCCCTTAGCTTTTTGCATTCTTTTGCTTCTTAGCACTCACTAATCTTCTTTTTTCTTGGGGGGGGGGGAGAGAGCTCTAGTCCTCTTCTTATCGTTATCCATTTATACCAACTTCTCCTAGGGCCTCCAGTTGTCCTTTCCTCTAACCCCTTCTTGCTTCTTCTGCCACCACGATCACGATTCATCCGGTGTCCCTGTTCATTCGGCGCTGCCGTTGCCATGATATCTGGTGGCTTGGTGCTCCACCTTCTATGAGATTGCCGAAGGTGTCAGGGGTGGTCCCCCTGGACACGTAGTCCCCTTTGCTCATCCATAAATAGCTTGGATTGAGCTTTTATTCTCCAAATCGCTTTATGGGTTGGGTTGGGCCTGGACTGTTGGGCTATAGGCTTTTTACAGATACCAAGTCCCGCTTTTCTACTCCGGACCTCTTGGGCTGGTCAGGTTTCTGGGCCATCAAGGTCTTGCCCGTGAATTTCGTCCGTATCAATAATAATAAAAAATTTTATTAAATAGGTTAAACGAATCGAATCAGGTAACCCATTTAATAAATGAATTGTGTTTGGTTTGTAGATTTCTATCAATTTAATTAAACGAATTGTATACGGGTTGAATAGTTTTTCACACAAACCCAATTAAACCGGGCACAAATAGTTTAACCCGACACGATTGATACTCTTACTAACAATAATTGCTTGAATTTTATATGAGGAAGAATCGTCCAAATCACATATGTATATTCTTTGTTCACAAACAAAATATAAACTTCAGATATGTGCACTTTTTTAAAACATGTTTTACCTTGTAATCAGGGCTACATTGAGTATCAAAAAAAAATCAGGGCTACATTGTGATTTGCGACAATTAAACATTGGACTTCGACGTAATAACCCTGAAGTTTTTCAATTAGAATTATACAAAGAGGGTTGAATTGAAAATTTCGTAGTTTGACATTACACTGATTAATTATAAAAATCCACCGTGCCTTCACCGTTGGACATCCTTTCTCTATATGATGCTAATGAAATATTGAAAATAATTTGTAACACGTCTCTAGCTATACTAGATAATGGTGCACATGGAGTGCAGGTGTTAAATAACAACTGATATTATACAAGAAATCTTGGAGAATTGTAATGTAATCATAGCAATTCTCTATAATATGAGACCAATTGTTTACAATAAAAAAGATTTGTAATTAAATATCCCATTTGTTTTGACCATCTCTTTGCATGTTTGAAGTAAACAAAAAGGGTCATAACCAAAAAAAAAAAAAAGTAAACAAAAAGGGCTAATACAAAAAAGCCTTGGTTTCACATTATTATTAGTCAAATTATACTATCGAAAAATAATATTTTAGAACCGTATTTTTTTTTTTTTCAATCAAAGCATGACATTTGTAAATCATTTATATTTTGTTATTTATAAAATTAATGATCTGTGGGTAGCCTAGTCTTACCCTCATATTATATCTACTTCTGTATTTTTAATACAAGTATACAACCTAACAGATTTATGAAATATCTGTAAAGTCAAAGTTCCAGTCTCCTTTTTCTCTGGTTGTTGCCACTTTTTTGCAATATCTGTTGCAGAGGAGCCCCCATCAATTCAATCCCTTCTGTATTTATATACTTCAAATTCACATTTCTGCACATAACTTTTCACTCTGTGAAGTGGGTGTCGAAACTTTTTAGCTTTTTGAGATGGAAAAGACCCATGTTGTTGTCTTTCTTGTTCTCTGTGTTGTGTTCTTTGTCCCATATTTTCATGGAGGAATAGCCATAGCTTCAGGAACACAAGATGGAGCAGAAGAGTGGGGATATGTTGAAGTCAGACCCAGTAAGCTTAGTGAATCATATTAATCATTGATGTTTTGATTCATAATTTTATGAATAATGTTGTTGATCTTGGCTTGCTGTGTTTTGAATTGAATATAATACAGAAGCTCACATGTTCTGGTGGTACTACAGAAGCCCATACAGAGTTCAAGATCCAAACAAACCATGGCCAATAATTCTTTGGCTGCAGGGTGGACCTGTAAGTATTGGTTTCTGACGTCAATTAAACAAATACAACAAGCCAAAAAAAAAAAACTATAAATTTCATGTGGAGCTCAAATGTGAATTTTGTTAGTTAAATTGGTTAATTTGTAATTAACTTTATTTTTTACTTATTCATTCATGCTTTATATATGAAATTAAGAATGCTTTTGGTTTTATTTTTCTTTTCAAATGTACATTTTCTGTTTTTTGGGTATGTTGTTATTCCAAGTAGGGTGCTTCTGGGGTTGGGATTGGAAATTTTGAAGAGGTTGGGCCATTGGACACTTATCTGAAGCCGAGGAATTTGACATGGTTACAGAAGGCTGATCTCTTGTTTGTGGTAAAATAATAACAATTTCTCAACGAATTTTCCAACATATTTAAGATCTGGAATTGGTCTATGCTGTGGGATTTAGGTTTTGTTATCATTAAATTTTTAATTCATGGGTGGTATAGGATAATCCAGTTGGCACTGGATACAGTTTTGTGGAGGATACAAAGCTATTGGTGAAAACTGATGAGGAGGCAGCAACTGATTTAACTACATTACTGATGAAGATTTTCAATAGGAATGAGAGCCTCCAAAAGAGTCCTCTGTATATAGTGGCAGAGTCTTATGGAGGAAAATATGCTGTCACTCTAGGATTATCAGCTCTCAAGGCTGTAGAAGCCGGAAAACTGAAGCTTAAACTAGGAGGTAAATTGTTCAAACAATGTAGCTTGATGGGAAAACCAAAGAATGATCTTCAATTTGTTAGAAATTTGTGTAATGTTGTTTTGACAATTAACTTTTATTGACTTAAATTGTTGTATAATTCTTCTATTTTTCAACTGGTTCTCTATATGTAGGAGTTGCATTAGGAGATAGTTGGATCTCACCAGAAGATTTTGTAGTAAGCAGTTTAGTTGAATTGTTTCTTTAACTGATTTGTTGTTTTTATACAATCATTTGTTATGTTTAACGGCTAAATTAACATATATAGGTGATAATTTCTACTTGCTAATGCAGTTCTCATGGGGTCCTCTTCTGAAGGATGTTTCGAGGCTGGACCAAAATGGCCTGATGAAATCAAACAGGTCTACATATATCACTTTCTCCAATCAAGAACTCTGTGTGTTGTGTGTACACAATGTCATACAATTTGTGTATTTTTTGTTGTCTAACAAGCTAATTTCAGAAAACAGTCTGGCTCAGCAAATTAAGCAGCAAATTTATGATGGTCATATGGAAGACGCGACTGATTCATGGAGTGAACTCGAGGATGTGATTAGCTCTAGCAGTAATTCTGTGGTATATTTTTTCTGCCCCCAGTATCTTTATTTTCTCCCCTTGAATTCTTCAAATGATTTAAGAATGCTCAATTTTTTTTGGGCATTTTGCAGGACTTCTACAATTTTCTGTTGGATTCAGGAATGGACCCCGTGTCCTTGACAGCTTCTGAGCTATCAAAAGGAATTGCAATGAAGCGATACTCGAGATACCTCGATTCCTTGAGGTCCTCTCCTGGTGGTGATGGTGATCTAGATAGCTTGATGAATGGTTACATTAGGAAGAAGCTAAAGATTATCCCAAATAATGTGCAGTAGGTTCCAATCTCTTTTGAGTAAGAATTGAATTATAAATACAATGGATGAGATGGGAAGAATATATTCATTGTAAGATGGGAATAGGAAATTAGTTTTATTTGCCTTAGTTCACTAAACAAGAATTCATAATTCGTTAATAACTATATTTGATACATGAACCATTTTTTCGATGGATTAGTTATATTCCAAACCGAAGAATTTTTCACCTGTAACCACACTATCAGTTTCTTGTTTACAGATGGGGAGAGCAGTCGGATCTTGTTTTCACATCACTAGCGGGCGATTTCATGAGACCGAGGATCACTGAGGTAACAAATTAAATTTGTATGGCATAGCATTTGAGAGGTTTGGATGATTATTTTAGCCAACAAGAACTTGATTCAGGAGCTTCTTTAGTCAAAGGAATCTTAATCTAAATTGGAAATTGGTTATTATACTGGTAATACTTTAGGAAAGTGCTCCAAGAGTAATCAAGAATGACCTCTGATTAACTTTATTATGGGTGCTTTAAGGTGTGCTGTGTGATATTCCTTTGATTTGCGATTGAAAAAAAAAATATGAAACCTAACAGTTTGACAAAACCTACTTTTTCATTATCAATTGTTGTCCCCTCTAGAAGCTTAGAGGTTATTCAAAAGCACGTTGCATTCTTTGAAAATAGGCACTCAAATGTGATCACATTTTCATTTTTTTTTAATATCTTCATTGTGATATTTATAGGTTGATGAACTCTTGGCAAAAGGAGTCAATGTGACTGTATACAATGGACAGGTATAATAAGATTCCTCTCTAGTCTTGTTCAAAAAGCTCTCACTCTTGAAACCAATACCCCTTTAGAGGGCAATAGATACTTTTTTTTTTTTATGTACAAAGTTCTCGCTTGCAGCGGAATTTGAGAGAAAAAAGTGGTACCCAACTTTATCTCGTATTGAAAAGGCTGAATTTTGGGCTCACATTCACAATATATCATTTAGATAACATAGTTCTCAAATACGTTTGATTGTATCGTGCAATTCTGACATTGGACCCTAGTGTTGACTAAATAATACGTAATAACAAATTTGATGATGAGCCAGTAGTTACTCAAAACACAGTTTGGGTACATTAGTACCATCTGATTATAATTTAGACTATGATTGCCTTGTGCATATATCATTGAAGTTCTAGTTAAATGTAATGGTTTGGTTGTTGGGTGCTTGTAGCTTGATGTCATTTGTGCTACCAAAGGGACAGAAGCGTGGGTGGAGAAGCTTAAGTAAGACACAAGCATCTCTCTCTCTCTCTCTCTCTCAGACACACACATGAGAGACTCATTTACTGCATCCGAATTTCAGGTGGGAAGGGCTAAAAACTTTCTTGAGCATGAATAGGACTCCAATCTACTGTGGGGATGATGACAGTGTTACCAAGGGGTTCACCAAGTCGTACAAAAATTTACATTTCTATTGGATTCTTGGAGCTGGTCACTTTGTGAGTGAAAATCATTATAAATTAATAGTTTCCAAAGCTGACCATTTCATAACTATCATTCATATATCATCTCTTTCCTATTTCTATTGTCGTTGTATAGTTGAGATGTCTTCGTCATCTTATAATTGTTTGACATTCGCATACGTATCACGCCTGCTTGTACTTCTCTATGAGCTGTAGCCATGTTAGAAAATTGTTAGGATCCACATTAACTAGTAGGGTATCAAGTCAACTAGATGAGACCTTTTTTCCTTGTTTGAATAGGTGATGTCGTGTGGCATACAGCACTCTTGATTTTACCATCTTACCCTTTGTCCTTTGTGAATTTTTTCCATTTACCATGTTAATAAAAAAATTACCCTATGCTTAGGGTGTGGGGTAGTTGGTTTGAGTTTGAGTTTGGGTTGGATGGGCCATTTTCATGTTGACTGTTATCTCACGGCCTTTTGTGGACTAACACCATACATGTAGATTCGAAGAATGATAAGGTATTCATGAACGATCTTAAAGTTAATAACTTTTACGATACTATTTTTTTTTTTCCCCAACACCGTCGTGCTATCCCTTATTCTGATGCTTTTTGCAGGTACCTGTTGATCAGCCATGTGTTGCATTGAACATGGTGGGTAGCATCACACAGTCCCCAAGTGCTTCAAAGTAGAGAGAGATAACACAACTTTCCTCAAATCTACATTACATGACTGCAAATACAAACGCATAATACACAGAGGCATGGAGACTGAAGCAGGAAGGCACTAGTAGAAGCAGCTGATTCACACAAAATAAAGGCTTTCATTTACATATTTTTATCTTGTCATCATACCATTTCATTATAATTTGAGTTGAAAAGAGAAAAGAAATAGGTTGCAAAACTCAGAAACAGATGATATTTTTAGGAGAAGAACTCCATCCAACTTGACTTCTAATAATAGGGCAATCTTATTTTTCTAGCTATGAGAAGAATTCAATTCAAGAACAAGACACAATAAACCAAAACATCTTCTTGTGTGATGTGGATAAATGGACAATCATACTAGTCCAAGCTAAGAAATTACATGGCGGATCTAGTCATCTTTCAAGCTCACGATATCGGTCATCTACTCGGAGAAGCATCGGTTGCGGCGTCAATATTGGGTGATACGACCTAAAAGAAAATGTTGCACATGACGAGGTTATACCATGGCATTACGGAACTGTATTAGCCGATTTGGTGACAATAACTCGACGACTCAACATTGACTTGGATATAATTTGGATGACTCAGTTGAGTTTTGCGAGTGTCACGATTTATATGTATTGTGTAACGGTATCGTTTAGGCAAGTACTGAGGCAGATACGACTGATACAACTCAGCCAACTCGTATCAGCACCGACTAATGCTTTAAATCATATTTACAGCATCCACCTAATCCTCCCCAGTAAGCATCACAAATCCGAACCCAAGGATTCTAAGCAAAACTATGTCACAAGGGCCATTGCCAATTTCAATGAGTGAGTGAATAGGCTTCATTATTTTGTGCACTTGGAGATACAACATTAAGCAGCAAACCCAATTGAAAAAAAAAAAAAAAAAGGCCACTACGTTTTCAAACAATAGCCATTACAGTCTCTGAATGCACCAGCTCATCTAACATGGACTCTATAGCTAGCTTATCTTGGTATAAGTTGGAAGATGAAGAAAAACTGCACCAGCACTTTGCTTAAGTAAACTCATTTCATGTATTGTAGCCCATTCCCAGCCAAATTACCTTTCAGATTCCTTTTAATTCGACGATGATTGCTCGATGATCGCTCCATTGGCTTAGATATACGAGGAAGCAAATAACGTTCTGAGCTTGTGGGTTGCTGAAACAGCAAAACAGGCCTCCATTGTTGTAATCTTTCCTCCAGAAGATGGTGCTCAAGAAGTATATATATAGCTAAGACTCATTCTGTTCGATTATCGCATAAATATGTGATTTCATTGGTGCAAGAAATATGGCAGGCTTGTGGGCTTCTGAAACTAGCAAGCATAAAACTCGGCTAATTTGATTGATCACTAGTTAGCAAGTGATTATATACATTCAAAATTTGTGTCGCAATTAAGAATATAAAAGAGAAAAACATTGACAAGTCCTACTTTTAGTCCCAAAAAACAATTCAGTCCTATCAAATTTGTACTAGTCCCACTTTTCTAATTAGTTCCAAAAAAGTCTTGATTTTCACTATATCCCCTTTTTATCCTTTTAATATTAATTACAAAATTGTCATTGTTCTCTTTTAATTGAAAACCCACAAAATAAGGCAATCAGTGGTTTTGTTCCAACCCCGCTGATATGCTTTCGCGGCTTTCCAATTGTAGAATAGTAGAATTGCCATTAATTTTGTTTTATTAATTATAGAATTACAAAATTTAGTTATTTTGTGGGTTACTTTAGTATTAATTACAGAATTGCCATTAATCCTTCTAGTATTAATTTTATTTTCGTGATGTTGAAATAATTAAAACTGTGAATCGAAATAAAGATAATCAAGGAGTGAGATTTTTTCCGTGAGTCACCAAGAGCTTGAAAAATGTAAGTATTTTATCATGACATCAGAAATAATACGAGTTCTTCTCATCTTAGTTATTTGCTCATGACCAATTAACATAATACTTAAAAACTTAAATTAGCATAATCTTTGATCACCTAAATGAATATACTTGTTATGAATAAAATCACAAGCAAAATAATAACGCAACAAAATAGAAAAAAATATAACACAAAAATTTACGTGATTCGGCTCAACAAGTAAGCCTACGTCCACGAATGAAACACAGGGACGAAACAAAAGTAAAATTTTAATAGAAAATCATGACTTTTGGTCAAGAATAGATAGATATTCAGAGTTTTCAGAATCTCATGGGGGCCATGCTCATAAGATAGTACCGTGTATATATATATATATATATATATATATATATATATATATATATATATATATATATAGTAATAGATTTGATTCACAAAATTAGTTATTTTGAGATCGCGAAAACAATATTTATCCCACAACTACAACGACTAGATTAACTTGAAAAAATCAAGAATTGGAGAGCTGCAAGAGCTTTCTTGATGTTCTTCCCAACCATTGGTGGGGTTGGAACAAAACCCTTGATTGTCTTACCTTGTGGGTTTTCAATTAAAAGAGAATAATGGTAATTCTATAATTAACATTAAAAGGATAAAAATGGAATATATTAAAAATTAGAATTTCTTTGGAACTAATTAGGAAAAATAGGACTTCATTGTTCAAGTACAAATTTGAAAGGACCGACTTGTTTTTTGGGACAAAAAGTAGGATATATTGGTGTTTTTCCTACAAAAATACCCATAGTTGGACTAATCCCCCATTACTAATTAAAAACAAAATAAAATTGTTGCAATCGAGCAACATAAGGACTACCATCTTATTTCGATATTTCTAAAGATCACTACCTTTCCCTACAATGTAAATAAAAAAACTCTGGATAGCAATACAGACAGACAAGAAAGCTTCTGTCCAAGCATATACCCGCCCCTGGGACTCCAGACAATTGCTAAAGCTTAGGAAGTCACGTAACAAGAACAAGAAATTCAAATCATAAGCAAGTATAAAACCAAAAAAAAACACCATTCTTAAAGAGTTATCAGAGACATTTTGGCTCAAAAATGACCCTCAAGTTATCATATCAACTACTTCCATTGCTGTTTCTACTATCAGCATTATGTGTTACTGCAATATATCCCAAGACACCAAGATTTGGATTAGTCAGCAAATTCTCAACCAATGACTATGGTGTACAGCTCCCTCCAGAGTTTGTGACATATTATTACACACAGACACTTGATCATTTCAATTACAAACCAGAAAGTTATGCCACTTTCCAACAGAGATATATTGTGAATTCCAAGTATTGGGGTGGGGCAAATAGTAGCTCTCCGATCTTCGTCTATACGGGTGATGAAGGTGATATTACTCTTGTGGCAGATTTTGCTGGAGCCATTGTTGAACTTGCCTCTCGTTTCAAAGGCCTCTTGGTGTACATAGAGGTAAATATATGTCAATATGGATGAGTTTAAAATGGTCCACTACCAACCATCAGAGTGTTTCCAAATTGACATCGCTGTCAATGGGTCATGAATGTCATGTTTCTAGGTCCTATAATTCATGTCTTGAGTCAAAATTTGCTCAATTCATATTGGACTCATTTATAGTAGTGTTCATACCGTTTATAAACGTATCTAGCCAGTTTCGCCGGCTCGTTTATTTGATGGATTTGGCGAGTCCATCAGCCTACCACATCACCCGAAACGCCTAAGACCAAATTCAAGCCTGTTAACTCTATGTCAACTTTGTGTATTTTAGCACTTACTACTACTAATATATATGTTTTTATGAGTTCTCTCCAAGTCTTTTACAGGTGGAAAAAAAGATATACATGGGCCTTGTAATCTTCTGATATGTGTTTTATAGAGACTAATAGTATCAAGCTAATTTACCCATTTACAGCATCGATACTATGGAGAATCAAATCCCTTTGGAAGTCAAAATGAAGCATTCAGCAATGCAAGTACCCTTGGATTTTTCAGCTCGACTCAAGCATTGGCAGATTTCGCACAGGTGATCATAGATCTCAAGGGGAACTTGTCAGCAGAAAATTGTCCTGTCATTGCAGTTGGAGGATCATATGGTGGAAGTAAGTTGCCTATACACTCAGTGCTAGTGAAAAAAATATTCCAATTTTTCTTCCTCCCAAGTCCTGATATTCTTCTTTTTGTCCGGGAATCAGTATCTCCAAAATGGGATCTATATGTAGCGATGCCTATTTCTTACTATTCTTACGATCTATTATAGACGAGATAGCATTGTGCAATTGGTGCGATCTTTGTTATTGATATGAATTTTTGCATGTTTCTTTATTTCAGTGCTTGCGTCTTGGTTCCGTCTGAAGTATCCACATATTGCCTACGGTGCTTTTGCATCATCTGCTCCAATTCTCTATTTTGACAACATCAGTCCCCAAGATGGATACTCTGTCATCGTGACCAAGGATTTTAGAGTAAGAAAATAAAAAGTAATCATTTGGTAACGTTTCTTTAAGAAAAAAACTAATTTTGTCGTAAAAGTAAAAACATATTTATCATCGATTACATATAAAAACGTTACCAAACGATAATTAACTTAATGTATCACTCACTATTCTATCACTTGATTCTTTTCAAGAATAACACGCTTGGGCTGGCTGCAGGATACCAGCGAGAGTTGTTACAACACCATAAGACAGTCTTGGGGTGAAATTGACAAAGTTGCTGCTCAGCCAAATGGCCTTTGGAACCTTAGTCGAATATTTAGCACATGCCAGTAAGCAATGAAACCCTAATTTAATTTGTGTATTTAGTTATGTTGGACTAATGGCACTTTATCCTTAAAATATGTCAAATTTTTTACTTTGCTTAATGATTGAAAGTTTAACATTGAACCTGAACATTTCAAGGAGATAACAATGTGCTCCAAACACTAGATGAGAAGTTTTTTGGTTTTTTATTTGTAAAGATATCATAAAATTACTTAGCCCGTGAAATATTTTAAAATTTGCACCCCTGTGCCGGCCCAATAGGCAAGCAACTTAAATGTTTACATATGACCCCCAAAAAATAATGTTATCATCTTTGAGAATTAATGTTATATATGATGTAAGAAATTTAGTTTGTATAAGTCTAATTAAATATATATAATAAAAAAAGCCATAACTAAAACAAAAAAAACCCAACCATTTCTTCTTTTAATCAATTTTTTACTCCTTTTAGCTTTTAGAAACTCTTTTAACGGTTACCTCAAAAGCCAGCCTAGCCTATGCAATTTTACTCCTTTTAGCTTTTAGGAAACTCTCTCTCTCTTTCTCTCCTGTCCCGTTAAAAAATCGTAAGTAGGCATCACTTTTTGTTGAAAGAAGTTTTTCAAAATTAAAATTTATAAAATTTTACTTACGATCAATTATGTCACAAGGAAGATTAAATGAATTAACTATTGAAAACGATATATTAACGAAACTTAAATGTAAAAGTTTAATTACTAAATTTGCGTCCCAAAAAGAGAAAGAATAAATTTTTAAAATGACTCATTTAAAAGCTTCTGTATAGTGCCTCCATTTACATCAACCTGACCCCGACATCGCAGTTATGCTAAATGTCTCATATCACACGCATGACACATGGGATACACCCCCTAACTGGAAATCACGAATAGTTTGACTAATTGGGTCACGTTGCTGTACTTTAAGAAAATTCATAGTGTACTGTGAGAATTTAAAACTTGAGAGAACACGGTGAAAAATGTGAAATCTTCCCGAAACAAAGTGTCAATCACCCATTCATTTATTTATCATTTATGTGGCATTGACAATATATGTTTGTTTTTTTTTTTTATTCTTGTAACTCTGAAGACAATTTTGACATTGGGGTGGGTTTGAAGGCCTCTGAACTCATCAGAAGATCTAAAGGACTACTTAGTGCTGATGTATATGGTCTCTGCTCAATACGACAACCCTCCTTATAATCCAGTAGAAAAGGTATGCAGTGCCATCGATGGAGCAATGAACGAGACTGATATTCTTAGCAGAGTCGCTGCAGGCCTCAATGTCAGTGCTGGAGAACCATGCCATCAGGTTTTCGATCTCAAATTATACAAAAGTAGTGGATGGGATTGGCAGGTATTACTTCCATACATCTACATTTTTCATATTAACATCGTCATTTTTAAAATGTGTGGTATAACGAAGGTCCTAAACTTGCAATTATAAAGCATTTTGACTAACTCACAAGACTTGGGTGCACTAAGGGAGACAAACTACATAGTCCCTACACTGTTAGAATCATCAATTGTGATGTTTAACATTGTATAACACCACCCATTTTGGGCTAGCCCGTATAGTTTTAGCATACATGATGTACGGTAAAAGTTCAAAACTAACACTTATAAAACCCTTCATACCTATTTTAGCAAGTGATGTGCTATTATGAAGTGTTTGGCATTATCCCAAAATTGAGTTCTCGTTTTTTAGATCAAAGGTGACTCTTTGTGTTTGATTCAAGGATTTCATGTCTGTTTGAAGCACAATTTGTTCTTATATTCACATTTAGCATATTTTTTCTCTTCCATGAAATTGATTAATTGGGAATAAAATTCCCTTAGATGAATTCTCTCGATTTCCTTTCTTGGTAGATCACCTACTATGAATTCAAGTGGAACTTATTATATATAAGTCTTCATTATTAAGGGTAAATAATACGTGGAAGAAGGCTAGTATTTGAGGAAATCTAGATCAGACTAATTGAGAGTGAACCATCTATTTTGCATGTATGGCGATATCTATTTTCCTTACTAGCGTTACTCTATTGAGATATCATGATCATGTGTGTTTTGTTCTTGTCAAAGACTTGTACGGAGATGGTGATGCCGATTGGAAATGGTGCCAATGATACAATGTTCGAAGCATTGCCATTTGACTTGAACAACTTCACCAGGAATTGTGAAGGTGTCTTTGGTGTCACCCCTAGACCTCATTGGATCACAACAGAGTTTGGAGGACAAGTAAGCTTCAATATCCTCTCCTTTCACTTCAACAGATATCTTACATAACAACACTTATAAAAGATACCATTTAATAGCATTTTTTCAAATAACTCGCATTCACGCCGAAAAATAATTTTGCCAAAAAGTAAGATCATAGAAAATTTCTATTTTAAAAAGTAGTTTACATGCTTCGTTGTATATAAATAACACACTTATGTTTGTGTATAAAACGAGACTAAACAAGAACAAAAAAAAAATGCAAATAGTATAGATATATATAAATGCTATTTACAAAAGAAAATGAAAAAAGGGTATTGACACGAAGCATTATCGTCAAATATTGGTATTCACAATATTGGGTTGTAATGGAAACTGCAGGATATTAAGTCTGTGCTTGGAAATTTCGCAAGCAACATCATATTCTCTAATGGACTCCGAGACCCATACAGTGCAGGAGGGTAAATGAACTGAAATTTCTAAACCTTCTTGTATGCCTTGTGATACCTAGCTACTAAAATTAGTTAAGCTAAGCTTTAATGTCTCCTCATTTACAGAGTTCTACAAAACATATCAGACAGTGTTGTAGCTGTGTATACAGAAGAAGGTATGTTCTTTGTCCTTTTTTTTTTTTTTGTAGCGTTTATATTGAAGATTATTTATAGGGAAGATTATATATTTCATCCCAACTTCATAACACTTTATCGTTAATCGTTATATACTTCAAAAACCTACACAAACCCCCTATATGATTTTAAGTCAAACCGAAATCGTTAAAAATTCATTAAAAGTAAATTGACATTGGACAAGGATTCAATAATCCACAGAGTGAAAATGCTACATGGGGCCACCTATCCTAAATTTAACCCCTGCGCGTCGCAATGAGATTTTGCACGTGGATTCAAGTTGACTATCGGTCACGGGTCCAAATGAGCTTGGTTGGTGGGGGTTCTTGGATCATCAAAAAGAGAAAACAAAAAAAAAATTGTCAAAATACAATACGTTCAATAAGATCTGGATCGAAATTTTGATAACCATGATTTTTTCCTCTCTAAAATCAGTCAATCTCAACCCCCTCCCCAAAAAAAAAAAATAAGACAGAAAAACAGGAAAGAAATTAAAAAAGATGAAGAATATTTTATCTTTTTTTAATAAACTGTTAATCGTGTTAAATGTTGCACTTTAGTTCAAAGTTTTAAGGAATGAAGTTGAATGACTCAAACCAGTTGTAGCTAAAATGTAAATTTTCATACAAAAGTATTTTGATGTGGGTTTGTTATTTTTTATTTACCAGGGGCACATTGCTTGGATTTAGCTACTCCAACAGCAACTGACCCTGACTGGTTGGTCTCACAGAGAGAGGCGGAGGTCAAAATTATAGAGGGATGGTTGGCAACGAGGTCTTCTTTAATCACTTAGAAATTACAACACACTGCCCTCAAGAAATCTTATGACTATCTCTACCTCGTATCGTACATTTTTATTTTCTTCATTGGTGGAGTTCCATTGAGATTATTAGTACAACCGTAAGTGCCATGAGATCATAGTCACCCAAACCAATCTTATATATGTCACTTGCTGAATTTTGTACGTGTGACTGACGTGTTTGATAAATGGTAACTTTCGACATCATTATATAAAGTTGTGCGACTCTTAGCCAAATAAAATATTAATTCAAGGTGTTATAAATTATATCAGAGTAATTGATTTTGTGGTGTAGTGTGGAGTCCAAATAGTTTGTACATCTCTTGTGCACGTCACGTCGATTTCACGAGTTGGTAGTAGTTAATGTAATGGGAGCCATTCTTCTGAGATACAATATTACCCAAACTTAGGTCTCGACAGTGCAATATTCATATAGGCAGGCTGGTAGAGATAAATTAATTGCCACTGTTTTTTTTTCTTTTAATTCTTGGAGGTGGATCACTTTACAAGTTTGTAACTTATTTTTTTTAAGAGTTATAACTTAACTAGGGTAACCCGTGCCGTAAGGCACAGTGCAATATAAATGATTTTGAGAGGGATATTGGTGACTGTTGGATGAGTTTATTTGAAACTATTGGATGAACTTATTAAAACGTACCTTATTTTGTTTTATATTATCGATTTTTAAAAAGAGTTAGTATTTTTGGTTGTTTTATAATTTTGGTCATCAATATATCAATTTAGTTCTTAAATTATTCAATTCAGATTTAATTAGTCTCTACAAAGATGAGTCGTTTAGTTTTTGACAAAAATAAATTACGTGATATCGTATGGGAGAATGACATATGGAAATTTTCGTCACAAAACTAACTGTTCATTTCTATAGGCACCATTAAAAACGAATTGAATAATTTAAATACTAAATCGATAAAATTAATACATTTAGTACCAAACTAACAAAACGAACATACTTCAAGAATTAAAAATGTTATTAACTATTTTAAAAATTATAATTTTTTGGATTTAATTAGTCCCTACAAAGATGAGTCATTCAATTTATGACAAAAATAATTACATGATATCATCTAGCGTAAAAAAATTTCGTCACATAACTAACAGTCTGATTGTGTAAGGACTCTTAAACACGAATTAAATACTTCAATGACTAAATTGATACACTGAGTACCAAACTAACAAAACGATATTTTTTAAGAATTAAAAATGTTTTTAACTATTTTAAAAATTATAATTTTTATGATTGTTTATTTTGAGGAATCGACAAGGAGCAGATGGAGCTCAGAATACAATGACAATGTCCAATAAAAGAGATTGATTTGAAATTCCTCTTACAGAATAGTTTGAAGATACAAGGTAACATCAAAATAACACCACCATTCAAAAGGGTTAATAGCAGGATAATTGTCTTCTTTCTCAATATGCATTCCACATGCTCGATGTAATGCTCATGAAGTTTTAATAAGCTTCCCAGTCCTAGAGATGGTATAATTACAGCGACTCAATGAGTCACTTTTAGTGCATATTAATTGGTAGAATAGTCTCCAACCAAATATCAAAGAGAGAGTGAACGTGGCATTCAGATTCAGTAATTACTTGTGCTATTCAGAATCAGAAAATGAAAGAGACAGTTATACAAGATGCTGACATTTACCCAAAAAAGAAGTATAGATGCTGATTTTGAACCTGTGATCTCCAAGAGCAATAAGTAAAAAAGGTCCATTCTGTTGCTATCAATCATGAGATATCAGCTGAATCAGCCACTCTCAATTGCTGATAAAGAGGATTGTCAGGTCTCAATTGCTGGAAATCTGGAGCAGAGACCTCAAACCAAATGTGCTGAAAGGATGAAAGAAAATGAGGTACCGAAAAACAATGGCTAATGAAAGGCGAACTTTTGTGGTTGATTTCGTTTCATCTGCTTAACATGTACAAACTTGCTGTAAATTACTCGCAAGTGTGGCTCTGTAAATTAACCATGAATGTATTGTTGTAGTTAACATATGTTGGGTTTTCTTTTTGTGGGGTCTAATTTGTGTTGATCCGAATGATGATCTGACCCGAAATAATGTTGCGTAATTTTTAATGAAAAATTTTGTGAGGCTTAGTCATTGACCCAAGTCGTAGCGCTCATGGACAAGCCTTGTTATTTTAGTGATTAAGGTTTGAAGTGCCGCTCTCTGTATTCATCTCTCTCAATAGTGAAATCTCTGTAACTTCGTAGACGTAGATAAATTGTCGAACCACGTAAAATCTGTGTGTTTTATTCGTTCTTGTTTCTAATTATTTTTATGTTCTTAATTTGTTCTTTGATTGTATGTGTTTGTCTGTGGGTCTAAAGCACTTTAAATCTCAACAAGATATAATTACAGACCATTCTATGACTGTTACTACTGTATTGGAGAGACCAGACTCTCAAGAATTCTGTTGTCATAAACTTCCTAACAACAGATTTGTGCGCCTCACCCCCTACTACGAAAAGTTTAGAGAGAACGATTTGAAATTTATATGACTTAGCACATTAGCTCTTGGATCGCTTTGAGCTTCCTGACCCTCAAAAGAAAATGTTATAATACTTCACAGACACTACGTTTCATGAAATAATTTGATCAAGTTGTTCAATAATACTTGAAAAACCAGTTGTTCTGTTCTTTTTTATTCCGTCCACCATCCTCACCAAGTCATTTAATTAACCTTGGTTTTATTTTGCATCTCACACAATGGTGGAAAGTTGCTTTGCTCTTAGAAGTAATGAGCATCGATAGACAGTGAGTTGTTGTTTCCTGCTCACGTAGGACATTTTTTCTGAGTGCACTGAGCCTGTGCAAATCATGTGGGGTTGCACAAACAGAAGAGAAAACAAGAATAAGCAAATGAAACCATTGAAACAGAATGGTACGAGAGTTCATGGTGAATAAATTTTCCTGAGCCTAAAGGGTTGTCCTGAGTACACATTTACATGGATATGGCATTAGGATGTAGTTGCCTAGCTTGGAAATTTTTTTACGATACATAAACTGACCTAATGAGAACCAAAAATAGGGAGAAAATATTAACTTAATTAATATGCAATATCTCATGGAGGTACAAGCCACGACTTTATAAAGCCACAGTCTAGAATGAGCATCAAGTGGCTAAACATAAATGTGAATAAAGGCTCAAAAATGGAACAAACCTCAACAGAAGATTATTCCATATGTTATAAAATGATTAAAAGATATGTCATCAGCTACAGATACTGGGGTGGCCCAAGTGCAAATGCTCCAATCTTTGTTTATTTTGGTGAGAAGCTTCGTTGGATGATGATTTAGATGGCGTAGGATTTCTCACTGATAGTGCTCCCCATTTTGGAGCTCTCCTCATTTATATAGAGGTTTAAGTAAAATGCTGAACTCTATTGGAATGTAACTATATTTTGAGATTTTAAGGTGGGCACTGAACTTTGTAGTGTATCTGGTTTCTCAAAAGAGTTCAGAAAAATTTTATATGTTGAGGATTCTTTGCTTGTTGAACAAATTAATGATATATCAAAGTGTTGACTCTTGTTTCTATGTTCAGCATCGATTCTATGGAAAATCAATTCCACTAGGATCAATGGAAGAAGCCATGAGAAACGATAGCATTCGAGGTTGTTTTAACTCTGCTCAAGTTCTTGCTGATTATGCAGAGTTGCTGATATACCTCAAAGAAAAATTATCTGCGGAAAATTGTCCAATTATTGTCATTGGAGCATCATATGGGGGAAGTAAGTGATACAAATGGTTATTCAGTATCTCATGCAATTAATTCTTTCTTTGCATAATGAGTTTTTCATTAATTTGTTTCCTAGTGTAAATTTGAAAAATTCAAGTGCTTGCTTCGTGGTTTCAGCTGAAATATCCACACATTACTCTTGGTGCTCTGGCTTCATCGGCTCCTATCCTTTATTTCGATGATATAACTTCCCAGGATGGATACTATTCCATTGTCAACAAGGATTTCAGAGAAATTGACATCCTGTTTTTGATAGTTTTGTGATTTTGATTCAAAAACTTTCAAGAAAAATGTGATTGGCGTGTTGGATCGTTGTAGCAGGAAGCTAGTGAGAGTTGTTACCAAACTATCCGAAGATCATGGTCTGAAATCGATAGAGTTGCTTCAAAGCCCTATGGTCTTTCAATTCTGAGCCAAAAAGTCAAAACTTGCAACTAAACAGCCAATCTTGATGTTATCTAGTTGAATGAACTTGATTGAAACACTAACCTATAGGGGTTCGGTCTTTTATTCTCAGGCCCTCAAACAAATCTTACGAGCTCAAGGACAACTTGGATTTAACATACACTGAAGCAGCTCAATACAATGCACCACCAACATCTCCAGTTACTGTGGTCTGTGGCGGCATTGATGAAGAATCTGAAGGAAGTGATATTCTGAGCCGGATATTTGCTGGTGTTGTAGCAGTTGAAGGCAAACAGGATTGCTGCGACATAATGGAATACGATTCTCCTATCCAGACTGATGGGTGGCGATGGCAGGTGTGTACCTACTTATCTATTTTAGAGTTATCAATAGGTCATACCATGTTGTGTTTCTAAGTCATATAACATGTATCGTCTTAAAATTTTATCAGTGCATACCCAAATTGGATGATAAGTAATTAGTGCATTCGCATTCATCCCTCCTTGCATCCAATTTCTAATTCACACACTGAATGCTGCTTAGAATTGTCATCTTTGGTGTTTACTTAATTGAAAGTGACTGGCTTATCTGCTTAGACATGTACGGAGATGGTAATACCCATTGGACGTGGTGGCAACAACAGTATGTTCCCACCAGAACCCTTCAATCTAAAGCGCTTCATCAGAAATTGCAAGAGAATGTATGGCGTCCAACCTCGGCCTCGTTGGGTCACATCCTACTATGGGGGCCATGTATGCCATTTTTTCATCCTTAAACTGTTTTTAGGTTTTTCCAAGAACTTTAGATAAAAGTTTTAAGTCCTCTGTGCCACATTGCAGGACATAAAATTGATCCTCCATAGGTTTGCTAGCAACATCATTTTCTCCAATGGACTGAGGGATCCTTACAGTAGTGACGGGTAATTAAACAAGAATTTAACATTTTATTTTCCAAATTGTTACACATCCAAGTTATTATATTTGGTTTGATATCAGGGTGCTAAAGCATATATCAGACACTATTATCGCCATTAATACAGTAAATGGTACGTGCTCGCTTCATTTCTATTTGTCCTCACCTTGAAATTTTTGAAATCCATATAAAATGCCCCACTGTTTGAGAAGAAATCTATAGAACTGATGATATTTGTTCCTATGAGCTACATGTTAAATGTCAAGAAGTCCAACGAAATACAATTTTTTTCGGTTTTTTTTTTTTTTGGGCCAGGATCCCATTGCTTGGATATAAAACAACTGGAACAAAGTGATCCAGAGTGGTTAGTAATGCAAAGAAGGTTAGAAGCCGAGGTCATTGAAGGATGGATCACAAAGTACTATGCTGACCTTCTTGCTTTCAGAAAATTGAAGGATGTCTAGTAATGGGGACATCTCACACTAGTTGGACAAAAAATAATGGTGGAGAAGACTATAGATAGCAACACTTAGGTAATATAAACGTTCAATTCAATATGATTATGGGGTTTCTATGCTCTCCAGCTCTCACTTTACCCAGTCTGTTGGGCCCCAAAATATTGAAGAAATTTTAAAATGTCAAATTTGGAACAAATTGGTCTACTAGATCCAGCCCAATCAAGGCCCAGTAAGACTGACCCGATAGTAGATAGTGGGCTGTCATTTTTCGGATTGGCCAGTTGACCAGTTGATAAGTCGACAGCCATCGGCTGGCCCGTGACCTCTGTCTGACAGGGCAATTAGGGTTGGTCTGTTGGGTACCCTGATTTATGTGCTTCAGGGCATCTACAACCATAACTTAAATGTATATTTAAATCTTTTAAAAAAATTCTGTTATTGTCTCAAGACTCTTTTTTTTTTTTTTTTGTCATTCAAATCATAAAATTTGATAAAATAAATAAAATTTTTATATCTCTCCACAAATGGATAAAGTCAAAAAATATTGAATGTGGATACAACACCACTTGGGAATAAAAAGAAACAAAAAAAAACAGAAGAAAATAATCCTAAAATTCTTAGATTGTTCTGATTTCTTATCTTCTACCGTAAATTTAGATAAAAAAATAAAATAATAAAGTAGTTACTTTGGCATAGGTCTAGTCTAAAAAATACAAAAAAACGAATCGTTTTTCAACAAAAAATGATGATAGAAGAAATAATGACGAATTTTTCTACATTTTGTGGGTAGTGAAGGTTTGAAATTTTAGAAAGAATCGGTGACCTGAAATTAAACCACTTACAGTGTTTGATTAGAAGAAATCAAAGCAAAATTTGATAAGTAGGTTTAGGGGTGTATATAATAAGAAAGATAGGTGAGATTAGGGTTTTAAAAAATACTAAAAATCAAGAAAATGAAAAATGAGAAGGAAGAAAGTAACTTGTAGGTCTTCAAAAGATATATAAATGCTTCGGTGGTAGTTGATGATAGAAGCAACACTTTTATGTGGTAGTGCTTTTTTTGAGTGTCTGGGTGTATTTACGCGCACCTTAACTGATTGACCTTAAGGGGTTACCAAGATTTGAACTTAAGATATTTAAGTTTACGACTCATCTCTAATATCCCTTTAAACAATCTTGGGATTTGTGGTAGTGATTGTTCTGAGCAGGGGCGGAGCTACCCCACTGAAAATCTGAAAATTTTTGGGGTGTACATAAAATTTTTGAAATTTTAAGATATTTTATAAATGCCCCCCTCCCCCCCAAAAAAAAAAAAAAAACTCACTGGAAAGATTTTAAAAGGCTCAAGAAAATTTTGGAACTTGGATAAAACTTGGGGTTCTTTTAACCATTGTAAAGTTAAACTTAAAAAATAGGTCCCTATTTTTCTTTGTAGCCGTCTGTTCGAGGTGTGGGGTAACAATGAGAACTTCAATCTCTTCCTTCGACACAAACAATACTCTCTCTAATCGTTCCCTCTTTTAGTTTTTTGCTTCATTTGGCCTTTTATCCAATTGATTGAGTGGATAAATTTAAAGGAAATAGAGCTTTAGATAATCTATTAGAGCTGACCTGCGAGAGGTAACCAATAAAAAAATATATTTATAAATTTATTATTTTATTTTTTAGCACAATAGTTTGGGTTTCTATTATTCCTATCCATTCAATTTTTTCTTCACAGTAGGCCATAGAATACTATTATCTAGGTTTGATTCCATCAATTTTTTTGTTGATCTGTTTGAAATATTATTTAAAATTATTAGATGAGGGAGATATAAAAAAGTTCAGTTATGCAAAAACATATTTATTGATATGTTGTTGTAGTCATGCATTGATAAATTACAAATTCAGTTAATCTTATATGCTATGTTATTTTAATTTGTGAAACTAAAATTGGACTTTGAATTTTGTTATATTTATTTGGGTTGTTTCATTTGAAATTTGCCTATTTTATTTTGTGTCCAATTGTTCCGATTAATTAAAATTAAATAATTTGGTTGAAAGACTCGTCATAGATTTAATTTTTCTATTAATTTTTTTTTTTTTGATTTAATGAGTTTGAAAGTTGATAGCAGTACATCATTATACTAAAAAATGTCGCATTTTATTTGTGTTGCTATCCAATTGACCTTTTTTAATATAACAATAATAATAAAAAAATATTTTTGTTAAAGTAATGCTAATATTATAATTTTAAATTATAAATAAATTTTAGATTGTCCCCACCAGAGAGAGATTCTAGCTCCGCCCCCTGATTCTGAGAAGAAACTTCGAAATACCTTGTATAAGAAGGCAAAATGAATGACAGCGGCCTCTTTCCATGGAAAATATCGTCCAGCAAAAATCCAGCGTACCATCCTGGCAGTTGCTTGGGGGACAAATCTAGTATAGAAGTCCTCAGCCGTAGTAGAAGACTAAGTCATCTTTAATTTAGTCACTAGTCTAGGGACTAACGTCTTTACCAAGGAGTTAATCGTTGATTTATTAGTTAGGCCGGTATGAACTCGATCGTTTTTCTAAGATTTTAGAAAATGTGCTCGATCTTTAATTTAGTCACTAGTCTATGGACTAACGTCTTTACCGGGGAGCCAATCATGAATTTATTAGCTAGGCCGGTGTGAACTTGATCGTTTTTCTAAGATTTTAGAAATCTTTGTAATTAATTCGTATTTGTTATGTGATTTTTTTTATAATTATATAAAATCAGTTTTCCTAACTTTTTCTTTAACTTTCAGCATTGTCTTGGGACGGAAACAAAACTCTTTCTCAGAGGGGACAAGAATATGACTGAAAAAATTAATTAATTGAGATAAAAAAAAATTTGAACATGGATTAATATGTACTGAATTGGGTATTATATTTATACAAGATTCTCTCATACCCCATTCAAATTCAATCACATATTAAAGTGTAAGTTAAAAAAAAATAATAATGTATTAAAGTAGAGAAGGAAAACATTGTATCAAATCTCAAGAAGTGTAAGTTACATTGTGTAAATAACTTGTTACATTGTTATTGTTACACTGTTATAATTACTTTTAATATTACCCTATAACATTTTACACTTTTCATTAAGAAATGTGAGACGTAAGATAATACTTTACACTTTCAATATTACACTTTAACAAATACACATGAATCAATGTGCATTAAATACTAAAGCTCTTCCATAAAACAATGAGATATTTAATGCACTACTTTTCAAAGAGTATACACATAGATCAATAGAAAATAAAAATGTCACAAAAAAATTAGGCAAATTCAAATTGTGTATTTAGATACAAATAAGTATCAAAATTAAGAATTTAATAATCCTACATTTTTTAGTGTGTATTTTTTGTCAAATAAGTCTAATCGGTTTAACTCAACCTAGTATAACTTATTTATTAGGTGAGTGAAAAATAGATTTGATTTATTTTAACCTAATCCAATTTAACCCAAGTTATAACCAACCCAATCATCCATTTGTCACCGAAAAAGTTCCAATAATTTCATATGTTGACGATAACGTGAATTTTTAATGATAATAGAGATGATTGTTGCTAATTTTGGATGTTTTGTTGGTGGGTTGATGATTTAAATTGTGAAGGATGTGAATCACTAAGCAAGAGTCGTGTGGAAAAAAATGTAAGCCGGAGAGAGAAAGTTGGGGTGTTGTGGTGTAGTCTTTGTGGAAAAATGAATGTTACGCGGCCACAAAAGGAAATTTACTTTTGTGAATACTTGAATGGCGGCAGAATAAGAAGAAGGGTTTGGATAAGTCGTTATTATCTTCCAAGTTCAAATCAACACAAAGAATAATTATTTCAGTAACCTAGTTGACACGGGGCCAGAATGCGACTCAAACCCAATCAATCAACGAATTTAGTTTTGAATCTGACTTTCGGACCGATCGAGGCATCGTATCAATTGGCATGGGACCCACTTTCCATTGTGGTTCTCCATGGTCTATGAATTCATTAATTAAAAGTTTTATCATTTCTAAAGTTGGCTACTTTTGCAATTAATTCCCTCATGTTCCAATTTCAACAAATTGTTTTTTTATTTTTTTAAAGTTTCCCTCCGGCTAAATTAATTGACAAAGAGGACAAAGAACATAAAATTTCAAAAACAACCTTCCATCCTCTCTTTTATTTCAACGGTAAGAGGTTTTGACCAATTTATGTATATTTTGCCCTTTTTTAATTTGGTCAAAAGGAGGCTATCATTATCGAAATAAAAATATTCATGAAAAATAAATTCTCATGATCTGACAACCTTAATATCCTTAATCATTTGTTGATTTTTTTTTTTTTACCTATTTCTCAATTTCCAGCTCTAACATATATATACTATTGTGTCCTCCATTTGCCTCTCATAGTAATGTCATCGCCACCAAAAACTACGACTAGGGTTAATAATTAAATTGAGGATTGACTCAAATTGGACACATACAAGATTTGACTCGAACTTCGTTCGTGTTGAATAGAAAAATTCAGCTCGAACTTGTAAAACTCGGTTCGTTTATACGTAAAATAGTCGAGCTATATGAGTTTGGTTCAATTTCTACTCGTTTTGGGCTCAACTTAGACTCAACTTGTTTTCTAAACAAAACAAACTTGAATAATTTTTACCCTCGTTTATAAAAATAAGTTCGACAAATTTGACTCGAACTCACAAAACTCGATTTAATTATCAACCCTAACTACGGCTTCTCAAGAAATCTTAGCGCTTCAATCCTAGGCTCTCAATGCAAAAATCTTCAATGTGGTAGGAGGGTTTATATAGAAAAGGTACACACTACACACACAAGGCCTTATGTGATGGTATGTTTGCGTGTGGTGTTGCCGTTACAGTGGTATTGTCATGGTGTAGGGAATGTTAAAGAGAGAAGGAGAGCCATTTTTTTTTTCTGTGGAGAAAAGAGTGAAATTTCAGTGCAATGAGAAATGGGTTTTTTGTCGGAGAGGAAAAGAGAAAAGGGAAAGATGGTTAAATTTCAAAATTGAAAGAGCTGACAATCGTTTGCCTTAGTTTATTTTTGAAAAAATTTTAAATCACGTGATTAGGTTTCTGTCACTTTTGATGGTTGGATATTACTAATAAGAGTTAATTGAAACAATATTCAAAGTGTAGGGGGATAATTTCTTTAGAATGAATAAATTGAGAGAGTTAATTATAAAATTAGCAAAAGTTAGAGGGAGGAAATTGTAAATTAAGCATTAATGTGACGAATGCAAAGAAAAAGGGGGATGATGCTGTTAGTAGTGAACCGGACTATTTAATGCAGTTGGCGAAGCACCTTTGAACAATTTGAAGCCACAAACCACTTACCAGAAAACATATATGATTGGAAGTTGGAACTAAGAATATTGAATAAATCAACAACAAGACTTTTGGCTTTTGTCAACTCAACGGCGACAAAATCCAACATCAAAATGATGGTTTCTAACAGTGTTTCATACGTGAGGTCCGCCGGAAAGTCCGTTTTTCTTTCAGACAAAGATTTCAGACTTGGTCAGGACTTAGGTTATCGAACAAAAAATTTTGGAGCAATGATGGTTATTTTAAAGTTGTAATTTAAATTTGTATCCTAAATTAAGAACAATCATTGAATTAGTGATTCTCATTTCAAAAAGTTAATGAACCTACTAATCCAATGATCCTCCTTAATTTATAATACAAATTTAAATTATAAATTTAGAATATAACACTACTCAAAATTTTGGTAATGGGCATTCAATTTTTATTATTCTAATAGTTATTTTTATAAATTTTATTATTTAAATAGATATTTTTATAAACTCTCACGGCCTGATCAAATGACAAATCATCAAAACTAGAATTAGGGTATTAACGACAAATAAAAATTTCTCATGACGTGACTCTCAATAATTGACAAAATTTGAACTCATGATATTCGAGTTTACAATATGTCCTACTTTTCTTTGGTATAAAAATAATTATCATTTTTTTGGATAATTTATCACATTTATAAGTATTTTTATCATTATCGTGATAATTATTTTTATCACTTTTTTCAATACCACAACAGTTATAAAAATTCTCACACAAATATGATAAAAGCCGGTACGGTACCAAAATTTTCTTTTTTTAACCCCATAGACGACAAGTCTCCAAAAGATAGGTCAACGATTTATTTTTTGATATCATAAATGTGATTTTTTGCCAATCACAACATGACAGACGCAAAGTATTGTATATATATATATTTTTTAATATTATTAATTTTTAAAATCGCCAGCCACAAATAAATTAATTTAAATTCAATGATTCATAATAAATTTTGGCAATGTGGCTCACACTGTGCCATACATATATAATGTGGATGACAGTTTTTTTGCACCATGGTGCCGGTGGTCTGATTTGTAATCAATGCCTCTAGATGAAAACTTGAAAATTAAAATTCAGCGACTGTAGACTGAATCTACGTGATTTGGTAAATCCGAGACTATCATTTTTCAAGAAGAAAATTTGGTGGTTTATTCTTCAAAATGTTGATGTACCACCTACCCTCCATTGGCTGCATCTTGACCCACCAATGTGCTTGTGTAGGGATGATACGTGTCAAAACAACATCCATGCCACAAGATTACGTATCATTAAATTCTAATAACGATTTGTTAATAACAAATAACAAAAAGATTAATTGATTTGCACACTACACCTCTTAGCAATAAACTTAACTAGACCAGTATGACAGTCAACTACCGTGTTTTTGATTTGATTGGTATTGTAAGAGTAAAATGTTTGATTTTTATACTCTTTTGGGCTTATAACTTATAATTGTACGAATCCTTTTACAATTTATGAGTGAATTTAAATTTGGAATTATAAGTGGTGGGGATGTTTGGGAGAAAAAGGCTGAGCTTTTGGTTCACTATTATACACTTTTGAACCAAACATGATAAGTTTATTGAACCGATATGTTAATGTTAGACATTTAACCTAATTAATTAATTATATCGGATTACGGTTAATTAGTACTAAATACGAATTTTAAAGAACAAAATATAAACACGACATGACTAACCCAGCTTTACTTTTTTTTTTTTTTTTATATACACGTTCATATATATATATGTGTGTAAGGTGCTTCCAGATCATTTTGCCACGGAACTGAATTTGTCTTCTTTAGATATTTATTATATATTTGGGTTTGACATTAGCTACGCGTTCTGGCCAGCTTATGGAGTAGGTGACACGGCTCGGTCAATGGGTGCAATTAGTTTCTTACGTATATAACTTAACTTTCACAACTTGTCATCCTTCGCTATAAGAATACTAATAGTTTCACGAGGAAGGCATTTATTGAAGTTGGTGACTTTTTTTTGTTGTGGGAAGTTGGTGACTTGATTAAAAATATATGCATAGAGTAACGTTATATGAAATTAAAAATTAGATTTAATAATCACAATTATTGATTATTAGAGCACATTATCCATTCAATAGTTATGATTATCAAGTCTAGTTTTTAAATCAATATATCATTACTCATATACATATGATCATGATTTTTGTTTTAATGGCAATGATCTTGTATTTTTGGAATTAGTCTAATTTGTTGAGTTAATTTATCAATCTATTTCATTGTAGCCTTTTGATTAACAGTAAGTTTTAATATTAAACGAAATATTATTTGACCTAAAATATAAAATTATGGGAATGTTCAATGCATTAACATTTGGCGAATTTAGATGCATCAATAGGATGTTACGTGATAGGATCAACTTTGTTTTTAAAAACAGAAATAATTGTCTGAGAGTTATAAGTCACATAACTGTCGATGGAGATAGAAACAATCAAAGGTAGTTGCTATGAAAGAGAGGCAAGAAAAAAGTCAAAAAGATACATTCAAACTCTCACAAAACTCACGATTTGAACATTTTTAATAGTAGTGTTAAGTTAGTTTTAAAAAGTAGTTACTTTTATAATGCTGTTAATTCAATTTTTCTAACTGAAATCCGTTCGATTGGATTAATAAATTAATTTTCTTTTATTAGTTCACTGTTATTTGTGTTTATCGCTTTAAATTTCATTCAATGAAGTCCTAAAACAAAACAATTGAAATAACAAGCAATCACCTAAAAATTATCCGTTAATTGAGTTTCTTCTGTCGATAACAATAGATTTTGAAGCAACAGATATAGTATCAATCTAACAAGTATAGTATCTTAAATCAATAAATTAGACCCGAATAATAAAACATTATTGTTTTTAGAAGCAAAGATGATGATTGGAGCAAGGGTTACGATCTTATCATTAACAAATTATTTTCTTTCTTTTAATAGAGCAGACTAAATCTAATTTTGAATATCAAAGACGATATTATTACTTCTCTCTCTCACCCTGTCTTGTTTTTTTTGTTTCTCTTTTGCTTTGAACCGCTATAGCGTGAAGCGTATAGAACCGAGATACATGCATTTGAACAACGTTATGTGTGTAGTCACAGCGTGTTGAAATATTAAGCACTTAAAAAGACTCCTTCCAACTATTGGAAATTTTCACGTTCAAATCAAAAACTGGGTCAACTTGTTTTAATCCATTATTCCCTTTCTAAATTACGTAACACCCCCCCCCCCCCCACCCCCTCTCTCTCTCTCTCTCTCTCTCCAACCATATATATATATCTTGCATATTCAGGAAAGTTATATATATCTTGCATACTGGGAAAACTTAGAAAGCATAAACTTGAACCTGACCAAGCTTCTTTGCACCACTTCGCCATGAAATCTCTCCAAATTCTACATCAATGGCTTCTTCTTCTTCTCTTCTCGACTGCCATTTCTGCAACACCGTTTGATACACCGAGGCTCAGTCCATTCCGAAGAACAGTTTCGGAAGAATCAAACACCGTTTCTGGGGATTTCAGAACATTTTTTTATACTCAAACACTTGATCATTTCAACTACAGACCTCAAAGTTATGCCACTTTTAAGCAAAGATATGTGATGAATTCAAAGTACTGGGGTGGGCCAAAAGAAAATGCTCCAATTTTTGTTTATTTGGGTGCAGAAGCGCCACTGGACAGAGATCTAGCTAATATTGGGTTTCTCACAGATAACGCTGCTCGTTTCAAAGCTCTCTTAGTATATATTGAGGTAAGAATTAACGAGATGATGTTAGAAATATTTCTCTCTCTCTCATGATTTCAGGGTCATAACGAGTTCAAGCTATAGGTCTCTGAAACTGTTAGCGAACTTCATTGATAAATCCTTACACTTTAAAATAGGATTGACAATGAGTTTTCTGATATCGAATTTCATTGTGTTAAAATTTAATTATTATAAACACCACCTGACTCATTTTTTCAATTTTAATTTTTGGTATCATAAAATGTCTTCGGACACGGTGTCATTAATAAGAGTAATAGTCTTATGTATTACAGTTAGTGTCAAGCAAAAATCGTATTTTATCAGATTGTGTCAATTCATTGATTTGATAGGTTTCAAAAATATACCTTTGTATCATCCGAATTTATTAAAGATAATATAACACTTCCATATAATTTTTGTATTGAATTCCATTTACCAAGTCTAACATTTAGAAACTTTTTGTTTTCTCTTGATCAGCATCGGTTCTATGGACAATCAAACCCCTTGGGATCAATAGAAAAAGCATTAGAAAATGACAACATGCGCGGCTATTTCAACTCAGCTCAGGCTCTAGCAGATTATGCGGAGGTGTTGGTGTACTTGAAAAAAAAATTGCATGCTCAAAATTCGCCAATAATTGTTGTTGGAGGATCTTATGGTGGAAGTATGTGATTGCACACTATTATTATTGGTTTTGGATCCTGTTAGTTTTAATTTTTGCCGATTTTGAACAAGTTTAATTATGCACCCCTAATTTTTGAGTTTCATCGGAATCAATAAAATCTATTATATATACCTTGTGACATCCACTAAATTGAATTGTGGATGATCAAACTTCACGAAATAGTCATCAACCCCCCCCCCCCCCCAACAACATCCCTCTCTCTATCTCTATACAATACATATATATGACTGTAGTCACTCACTATACTATACCTTTTATTGATTTTAATATTTTTATTTGAACTTTTCAGTGTTGGCTGCGTGGTTTCGGCTAAAATATCCACACATCACTCTTGGTGCTCTGGCATCATCTGCTCCAATTCTCTACTTCGATGACATCACTCCCCAGAGTGGATTTTATTCAGTTGTCACCAAGGATTTCAAGGTAATATAAAGTCATTTTTTCAAAATCAATCCTTTGAATACTAAATTCACTCCTTGGAAAATATAATAAATTATTGATGGATGGATCGATGTTGCAGGATGCGAGTGAGAGTTGCTACCAAACTATAAGAAAATCATGGTCTGAAATTGACAAAGTGGCTTCAAAACCTAATGGCCTTTCAGTTCTCAGCCAAACATTCAAGACTTGCACGTAAATATTCAATTTTTTGCAGCCATCTTGTTGAATTATTTCACTGATTCTCGATCGAGACTCTAATTTGAATGATTATGATGGTGTTGTTTCAGGACTTTGGAGCAATCTTCTGATCTAAGGGACTATTTGGACTCGATATACTCCGAAGCAGCCCAGTATGATGAGCCACCAACATATCCGGTTGCCGGAATATGTGGCGGCATCGATGGAGGATTGGAAGGAGATGATATTCTTGGCCGGATATTCGCCGGTGTCGTGGCTTATAAAGGAAAGAGATCATGTTATGACATAAACGAATATAACTATCCTAGTGAAACCAAGATGGGGTGGGCTTGGCAGGTAACATATTTATCATCCCAAATAGGGTTTCAATATTACCAACCAACAAATAGACAACCATACAAAAACACAAATTCGAAAAAGATACAATGAATAATGAATTCACACAATAATAAATAGATAAAAACTAGTGTTTGAACCAAATCACATGTTTTACGTCTATTGAATTTTTATTTTTTTTAATTAGATATAATTTTGTGAGAATTAATGTTTTGAAATTAAATAACTTTTGTTTGTTTTGCCAGATTTGGATCAAGTGGATTTATCATATATAATAGATTTATGTCTAGTGGATTCGGTTGAAACAAATAATAAAAAAAAGTGTACTAATAATAAGATTTTAGGTTCACAATTTACACGAAAATAAAATAAACAAGTCACAAATCCTAAATGACACGACTTGATGGACGCCCTACATCTTATATACTTATATGTGATTCTTATAATTGTCTTCCGTTTTTACTAATTTGAATGTGACTGGTTTCTGTATACAGCAATGTAGTGAGATGGTGATGCCCATTGGCCGTGGCATGAACGACACTATGTTCCCACCAGAGCCTTTCAATTTAAACGGTTTCATGACGGACTGCAAGAGCTTGTTTGGTGTCCGACCTCGACCCCACTGGGTTACAACCTATTATGGTGGCCAAGTATGTCATTTTCGAACATATTTCTCAGTATTTTCCTAGAACTTGTGATCAATTACTGTTTTGTTCATAACATATTTAATTACTTCCTTTTCCAGAACTTATAGAGTGCTTCCTTTTCGCTTTTTGGCTTTATTACAGGATATGAAATTGGTTCTCCAAAGATATGCAAGCAACATTATTTTCTCCAATGGATTGAGAGATCCTTACAGTAGTGGAGGGTAAGTACAAGAGACAGCCTAAATTGGTTGTTTTTGGATTGAGACAGCTTAAGTTGGTTCCAATCTTCTACACGTAATTGATAGTTTTTCTTACTTATGACAGGGTTTTGGAGGACATATCGAGTAGTATACTTTCTGTTCAAACAACCGAGGGTATTTTCTCAACTCAAACAAACTAAACAATCAATTACGACATACATAACATAATGCATATATGATATATCTATAATAAGAGAACTCTAACTTATTCAATTTAATCAACTTGCAGGATCCCATTGCTTAGATATAGTTAAAGCAACGCAAAGTGATCCACAATGGTTGATCATGCAACGGAAGATAGAGATCGAGATCATAGAAGGATGGATCCGAAAGCATTATGCTGACCTTCGTTTGCTCAAACAATAGATATGCAACATCTTAAAGGATACAGATATCTCCAATAAGCTCTCAAAGGAAAGTTAATTGCAGCCATAATCACTTAATCAAGTGCACATAACAAATTTCAGGTTGGAAAATTGAAGACTTGGAAATGAAGAAGAAATAAAATTCCATTAATTCCTAAAACATTTTTTTGTAAAGATTCGTTTTACACGACGAATAACTGGCTTCATCTCCATGATGGGTGAATATGCGTCGTTGGAGCTTGCTGAAAAGCTTATTTTTTGATTCTTTGCTTGACAGAACCTTGTGTGATCATGGCTCTTAATTAAAAGGGCTTGTCTTGATCGAGCTCGAGTGCCTTGAGATTTGACCTGGAATGTAATTTTAGCACACTTTTTCACAGCGTAGAATCAATGAAGAAGATGATGAATTGTTTATTTGTAAAATTTCTCAAATTAATCCCCTAGATTTGTTTGAGATCCACGATGGACTTCTGGTGCTTGTTTTTTTCTACCAATATTAGGTGAACGTTACTACGAAAAGACAACTATGCCCCACCTCCTGTAGATTTGTCAATCGTGTCGGATGAGACGAGTTTAAATATAGTTTTAACGGATTATGTCAAAAAATACTTTATTCATACCCAATTCGTTTATTAGTTTCGTATCTAACGAATCATGTCATATTGAATTTGTATCGTCTATTAACAATGTATAACTGGTATATAAACAAGTCGTGTATTTCTTATAAATTTTTTTTTGATTGATTTCACTCATACCCAATTCGTTTATTAATCGTGTCATGTTAATTCCACTCGTATACTAAATAGATGACTTAAAAAAGAATCAAGCTCTTTAATTTTATATTTTATTAATAAGTCGTGTTATATTTTAATACCTTATTATCCGCCCAGGGTGGTTGGTGGTTGGTGTGCGAGTAAAATATTGCACATATTTCTTTCAGTTCCTTTGTTTGGTCTAGAATTTGAAACCAGACTCAATTCCCACGCATACTATTGTGGGCGCAAGACCTACAGGTCAAACCAATTAGTTAACCTAAAATGTTCAAATGGACTAATCATTGCGACAATCTTACCCTGTCGTTTAGAAGCATCGAGTTGCCATGTTTAAAATAATGTATTCTAGAAATTAATTGGACCAAGTCTAATTGGCTACCCCTAACTCGCCTAGTCTGAAGGTCGGGGGTTAATTACATGCATTTTGACAATAATTCATTTCTCATATATTTTTTTCTTTGAAGGTTCTATCCTATCTTTGAAAGATTTCACAATTCAAATTTTTTGCTCAAAAAATCCGTTGCAACTCGTCATAAGTTACGAAACAATTCTAAGTGGCAATGGACTTACTTTCTAGCCACCATCGTTGATATTGGGAACGATTCATACACTATTTCTTCATTGATTAGTTTTGAAACCTATATGCTGCACATTTATGCCACACTTTCAATTGCATAAAAATAATTTTTCATTGGTTTTGCTAGTAATATTGTTTTCTTCAATGACTCAAAAGATCCATTTATGTTCCGTTTGGTACGATAAAAAAGTGGGAGAATAGAAAGTTGGAGGGATAAATAAAACATCATGTTTGGTAAGGAAGGAAAATAGGAAGGATGGAAAAGTGGATGAATTAATTTTTCTTCTAACTAACCAAAATCAAATAAATTTAAAAATAAAAAAAGATTTAATTAAAAAAAATTATTTTTTTCATCTTAACTAAGGGTAAAAATTTTTGACTCAACACGATAATACGACTTGAACTCGATACGAAAATAAACAGGTCAACTCGCATTTCGACACGACACAATTAGTTAAATGAGTTAAGTTATGTTTGACTAATATTCCACACAAACCCATTATGCTCAACACGAATCTGACACGACACGACTCGATTGTCATCCCTAATCTTAGTCATCACAAAAAAAAAATCATTTTTATTTTCCATCCATCCAACCAAACACAAAGGAAAGAAAATATATCCTTACTATTTTTCATCCTTGAAGATAGAAAGTGTATCTTTCTTACTTTTCATCATTCCTACCAAACGGAGCATTAATAGTGGTGGATATAAAGTATAATAACAATAAATTTTTTTTAGACTATCCAAATAATTAGAATTAAGATTTGGTTGAGTTTAAGTTTATAATTGAAAAATAAATTTTTTATTCTCGTGTTATTTACCTTAATTTTCTATGGTTTGAAAAACCAACTTAAAAAAGAGTGCCCATGTCACGCAAATGGAATGATGATGAAAGGGTTGCTTTGCTTTGTTGTTAAGCTATAGGGACCATGTTTCTTTTTCTGGTTTCATAATGATGATGATGATGAAAGGGTTGATGAAATGATGATCATAAGTATTTGTAAAAGAAAAGGTCAGACACCTTATGGTTTCTACGACAGTATGGATGAAAGGGTTGGAGGAGATGACTTTTTTTTTTCTTTTGTTTTTTGTTTTGATTTTACTACATTATCAGTATTATTATTCCATTACTACAGGCATATTCGTTGCGATGACAATTCATTCGTCTAAGTAAATATGATGGGAGTTTGAAATTGGGAATCAATCTCTTCAAAGTGGGACTGAGATTTTTTACAATTCATCTCTCCCAAACTTCACTATAAACAAGCTGGGAATGGCTGACTTGCCGCATCCATTTGGAGCTTTATTTGGTATGTGTTTAAACTGTTCACTGCTCTAATCGTACTGAACTTGTTTGGGGACTGGAGAGCCCTGTGGTTTAAGGTCTAATACATATGTTTAGAATTCATACTCACTTAAAAGTTTAAGTCTATAAATAATGAGTCCATCAATAATATATTAGAAGATTTTAACTTCTTTTTCTAACTGATATGAAAATTCCACACATGTAATATCCAACAGAACTAATTTAACCGAGCTCTTTAGATGAGCTACTTTACTTGATCAATTTTTCCATCAATAGGGTTGATGATGCTAAACATTGGTTACACCGCAAAGCAGGGATGTCAATGTCAGTCGGGGGGTGTGAAAGACAGATATTGTGGAAGTAATAACCAGAATTCTATGTGTAACATGAGAAACATGATGCCCAAGACGACAATATTGTAAAATCAGTAAGTATAATTAGAGATGTAATACGAGAAACTTGATAATTAAATGAGCAACGTGAGCTAAGTGTCATAGTTGTGAGGATCAAAATGCTCCCTTCCAATAGAACTAAATATTTTTAGATTGACCAATTCAGGCCAGTAATCTAAATCGAGTATTGGGAACAGATTCTAATCCTTCCGGTATCATGCCTTTTTATAAAGGTATTCAAATCTAAAAATCACATTACTATATATGTTATTAATGCTTTGGAATTGTCTTAAAGACTTCTAGTTTTTTCGAATATTCTACCACTAACCACAAATTCAACCTGTTTAATCCTAATCTGTTTATATTCTATTCCTCTAGGATCACTTTAATATCAGTGGAAAAGCAAACAATTAAAGACGAACTAGTAACACTGACAAACATGGGTGGAGCCACCATTGGACTAGGGCGCATAGGCCCATCCTCAATTTTAGACATATTTAATTATGTCCACCCTATTGTTGTATTATTGTGATATGAATTAGGATGAAAATCTCTACCTTATTGATTAACAAATTTTTTGACCACTGCTATTGGAACTTAATTTCAATACCTAATATATTGTGACATTAAGTAAAATAGTGAATCTCAATGTTTCATAAAATTACTATCCATACGATGGTTAGAACTCATCGCTCCCCACCAACAAAACCCCAAACTAGGTGAAACTAACATTATTCTTAACTTTTAGATAAGCTTCGGACATGTTTGAATAAATTTTGAATATATTATAGTTATTTTGTAATTTTTTAAACTTATAAGATATTTTTATTATTATATAGAAGTGAGTGTCATTATCTAAGAACCTATAGAGTCATAAATGGAAATGATTTTATATATAGAAAAAAAATATTTGTTGATGGGGTTGATTTGTATAAAGTTTTTGCTTTCTCTCTATGTATGGGCATATTGAAGCCAGTGGAACCAACTTAAGAGGCTCAAAGTGGAGCACTTTGCAACCCTTTCGCACCAATTACTACTGCTTCCTTTGCTTGTCATCATCCTCACAAGCCCTTTTTCTGAAGCAGCCTATAATATTCCAAAGCTCAGTCCACTCTTTAGAACAGTTCTTCAATACCCCAATATCCTATCATCTTCAATTTCAGAGGACTTCGAGACATTTTTCTACTCTCAAACACTTAGATCACTTCAACTATGGACCCGAAAGCTATGCCACTTTTAAGCAAAGGTATGTGATCAATTCCAAAAACTGGGGTGGTGCAAATGAAAGTGCACCAATCTTTGCTTATCTTGCTGCAAAAGCACTTTTAGACGAGGATCTCACTGGTATTGGGTTTCTCAAAGAAAATTCCTTCGCTTTAAAGCACTTCAAATTTATATAGAGGTAATATTTCTCTCTTTATCTTTTTTTTTTATTAAAAAAAACCACCTCAATCATGTGTTCACTGAATTCATAGTTTCACTCCGCTTCTCATATATTGTTTAGGTGTCATGACCTTTTTTGACATAAATATAATAACAAAGAAAAAAAAAACTCTCTCCGTCATGCCAGCTACTTGTGATCAAACTCTTACATATGCAAACTCTGGTTTTTTCCTCAGCATTGGTACTATGGAAAATCGGTTCCATTTGGATCAATGGAGGTGGCCATGAAAAATGATAGTATTCTTGGCTATTTTAACTCAGCTCAAACTATAATAGATTATGCAGCGGTCCTGGGATACCTGGGGAAAAAATTGTCTGCCCTGAATTCTCCAATTATTGTCATTGTAGGGTCTTATGGGGGAAGTGAGTGACAAACTGTATATCAGTATCCACGAGCTTCATTTTTACTCTTATAATACTGTCCATCGAACTTTAATTATTATTCTTAGAAAAGTAACACTTTTATCTCTTTTAACTATGGCATGTGTATCACATTGCCCCTTTAATTATCATGTTTCGCATGTTATACCCTCAGTTGTAGTTTCTAGTTTCAAAATGTCCCGATGGTTAAACATTTGTAACAAATTTGATGTAAAGTTGTAGAGGCAAAAAATTGGTTATACCTCTGAATGTGAATTTGTGATACGATTTTTGGGAATGAAGTCTAAACAATCTTCTTAACTCTTTTTTACAAAACAAATAAACTGTCCAAGATCGAAGTGTTTCGATCGAAGGCACTCAAATGCTTACGTCAGTAATGGAACATAAAGAATTGTGCTAAGTTTAGGAGAATTCAGCGTATCTTTTACCTTTACTCCTTTTGATTTTTATAGATCGTTATCTCCTTAGGGTTTCTATGAATTTATGTTCAAGGTGACACATCTTCCCTCAATTCAGTCATTCAGTTTGGGAAGATGTTAACATTTCTCCAATAATTCCTCCTGATATCTACAATTTCGTCGATTCATTTATTTGGTTGCCTAA